TAGGTAGTCCAGACGTTATTCTACAAAATTATGCAAGTCACAGCTCTCCAGCTATCGCCGTTGGGCAGGGCTCCCTTTTCCCGAGCGCGTGTCTATCTCCGAGCAGACATCTCTGGGAATCTCGAAATGCCATGGACTATAGGTAATCGACTACGCTGAGCATGGTGGCAGCATTTGTTTTTGTATAGAAATGAAAATAACTTCGTCAGGGACATTTTTGTGAAAGACCGATTTTTCACCTGTTACTAGCAAAAATTAAAATCCTTATATCTCGGTCTAATGTCATACTAGGTTGAAGTATTTCAGAAGGCTTCTGGAAAACATTAAACCAATGCCCAACTGAAATTCCCATTTTCGTCTTCGGTTATGGTTTATGAGGTGTCCTGAGCGTTTCCTGAAAGTTTCTTTGAGTCGGCATGAGATTTGACCGAGATATAAGGCGAAAAACTATTTTTTTACAAAAATGCCCTGACGAATTACTTTCATTTCTATACAAAAACACATGTTGCCAAACTGTTCATCTATCTCTTAGATGTTCCATGTCACTAGATGACATTTCAGTTTCGTCACAGCAATGCTGATCTGACGGTGATGTGGTCACGAACAACTAACTGAATCATGATGCAGCTAGTCAATGCTGTGTGGTAAATGCTGCCACCATGCTCAGCGTAGTCGATTACCTATAGTCCATGGCATTTCGAGATTCCCAGAGATGTCTGCTCGGAGATAGACACGCGCTCGGGAAAAGTGAGCCCTGCCCAACGGCGATAGCTGGAGAGCTGTGACTTGCATAATTTTGTAGAATAACGTCTGGACTACCTACGCATGCAAAAATATTACTATGTTTGTATGTTAGTTTTCTGCAAAAAGGAGCTGGTTTTCCAAAGATCCTCTGGAAAATCGAACTTCCAGAAAAGTTTGGAATAAGTTTCTGCTTACAAAAACATGTCTTAGGGTCTTAGAAACACGATGGTAAAAACCACAGGTCGCTATCTATCAATGTGACTGAGTTATTCCAAAAGTAACTGATGGCCTTGTATTTTGGGACAGATAGTAACATTTTATATATTTACACTTTAGAATGACAAATTCACATCAGCATGCTAAAATTTGGTTAGGTGATCCTAATTCAGTGAACTTTACAGTCATGTCACTACATCGTTGGCATTATGTAGAACTATTTATGAAAAAGATTCAAATGGGGTTGTACAATATTTAAACGATATACTTTGCAATATGAAACATGGTATTACTGAAATATCTGTAACAGAAGGATGTTTACATCGATATGCTGTAGCATATAAACCTCATGTTAGAGAAATTTATGTTGTATTCAAGGGTACAGACGGTTGGACAGATATATTTACCGATTTTAATGTATTTGGTAGACCAAACTGTTTTGAAGGAGGATTTCATGATGGATTCTACAATCGTGCCAAATTAATTCCATTAGCACCGTTTTTTCACTTATTATCATGTTTTCCAGATCATTCAATAATATTTACTGGCCATTCTCTTGGTGGCGCGGTAGCGAATATTGTAGCAATAAGAATGTTGACTGATATGCGTTTACCACAAGGTCATGCTAATCAGATACATTGCATTACGTTTGGCGCGCCACAAGTATGCGACGAAGAAGGTAGTAAGTATGTTACTGAATATTATACAAAACATTTTCATTCCTACATCAATCAACACGATATTGTACCGCATGTTCTATCTTTGCTTGGTAATATTCGCACTCGAATTACTAAACAATTGACATCCTCATTAGAAATATTACTAATCCTTATCAAGCATTGGTTTGTTGGAGTTATGGAAATACCATATATTACCGATCATAATGATAATCCAAGCTCGTGGTTTAATTCCTTCTTTTCATCGAATACTGACTATCCGAATGTCGACCCAAATCAGCTAACCATTAAAGTGGTAGAAAAAACAAACCAACTGATTCATGAGCTAGGTGATTTCTTATTGCCCACTTTCATCCCATTTGGTCAACATTATCGTAAATATATTTACAATGAGATTATTAATGTCGTAGGTGATCAGGAGTCTAAGGTTATTAGTCATCATTGTGTTGAAATCATTCCTGTGACAAAAATGAAAGATATTTTATGCAAGTTACCAGACTATATTTTCTATGGTCGGGCGGAAGGCGTACGTGGTACAACACCTCGTATCAATCTTAAGGCTCAAATTACCAGCTGTCAACAGCATTTCATGGATAATTACATTAGAGAAATACATCAATTAATCATTGCAGAGACTATGGTTCATCAAATGAGTCACTGGCCCGTCACAACTGTGCAGTTGTCTAGTGGCCATTCCAATGCAGTTCTTTCACTATTTTCTACCCCATCAAAAGCAGAATGGACAGCCTTCATTCCAAATACTGCTTCCAATCCAAAGGACTGTATATGGTCTGTTGTCAGATGTGAAATTGATTCGCAAGAAGAGCTAACTTTAACTTTGAGTGCACGATCAGCATCATTGATCACTCATATTCAAGTTGAACATACAAGTTATATGGAAAAGCCCGCAAAACCAGAAGAAACTGGTTCTGAATTACAACGTGTATTCGTATTATATCTTCCTATTGCGAGATATGCTGGCAGAAGTATTACTGCTGACGATTATCCTATAATCATTTATGGTCATTTTGGCTCGACTAATTTACATGGGTTATTCAATCCAGATTCATTTTTTCCTTCGTCCGGATTAACCGGACGACAAAGACAAATTGCGGATTTATCTGTTGATAAATTATATCGTCTTGCTTTTACGTACTCTTTATTTACGGGTGACAGATCGTTTATTACAAATAGCAGTTCTAGACGAGCACCAGTCACGGCTGCTAATATTGATCATATGACAGACGAATTATCGAATATTTCTTTGTCAACTGATGAGGACGAACTACGACGTACTCATGTATTACGTCACTTATTAACTATTGAATATAAATTTCAAAACGAGAGTAGGACTATAGCTAAAGAATACTTTCTTCCAAATTCTTCGACAATGGTCCAGCTTAATCAAGAATTATTATACTTAACTAACGAAGATAGTAATATGGTAATATCAGATAGTGTTGCTTGTAAAGATAATCATTCAGTAAGACAATTGTTAGAGACTAAAAATGATGAATTAGAGAATAATAATCTTGACGTGAAAGTTACCACAACGCTTGTTTCACTGAAAGATGTTATGACACAATGGCAAGATGGGACGATTGGTAAATCTACTAATGCAATTGCTACTGCTTTACCGATGTTAACTGCAATGCAGATGGCGTTTCATAAAACATTGAAAGTAACTACCAATCAACCAACTTGGTGGTGGGTTAAACTTGGTATTGCTGTTGCGGCTGGTTCAGTTTTAGCGTTCAGCGGCGGTGTAGTATTACTGTCAAATGCATTTATTGCAGCCGGTCCTGGTGGTGCCATGTTAGCCGCATCTGGTGCTTGTGCTGCTCGTGCTACATATGTAACAACGCGTTGGATGAATCAATTACAAGAAGAATATATTAATATATTACGTATATGGGCTGTTTCACTAGGTGTATGCATGGAACAAGTGCGAAACCATCAATTTTCATTGGAAGCTAAATTTACGAAATTTTTTCAAGAAATTTTCAAAATAAAACTGATGAAACCATTATGCAGAATTGGTCAGAAGAATATTTTCCTAATGGAATATTAAAAGAAGTTGATAAAGAATCGAGAAAACATTGTCTCAAAGTGTTAAAGTGTATTGTTGCACATTATCAATTACGTACTTTGTTATCTCAAGATTTTGCTGTTGGATTGATTGGTGCTGGCAAAACTGGCAAATCGAAATTAGGTCAAATGATGTTTGGATTTGACACTTGTCCTAGTCCGAATATCAGAACTCTCGATTTGCATAGATATCGTGTATCAAGTCAATTTAGTCTGGTAGATTTTCCACATTTAACCTCTGCTATTGATTCATTAAGGGTATGCTTTCGATGTAACCATACATTAGTTAACGGTATTGTAGTTGTACTGGATGCATTACAACAAGGTGATGACAATAAATCTGAAAAATACGTTTTAGATACAGTAAAGAAAATGAAAAAAGAAGGTGTTGACGTATTATACTGTTTTAATCGTGCTGATAAATTAGCAATACAGAATATTTTAACAGCAGAGTTAGAAAATGAATATGTAGATGAATTTGCAGAATATCGATCTAATCAATCACAAAGTAGTTCGGTGAAGGGTTACCGCGTTGTATTAGCACCAGAACAAGTTCAAGCGAAATTGCAACAATTTGCTTCACGTTACGACTTAGATGTTGCTGATTGTAAATTAACATTCTTTGATTTGGACTCAAGTGAAAAAGAGGAAAGAAGGAGATTATTCACCGAGTTATCCAATATTGGTATAGAGAGTTATCTAGATGTGAAAACTGTTTGGCTCAAGAAAGTATTAGAACACAATGGGTTGAACGCCAAAACAATTGAATCGATCATGAAATTTAGATATGGAAAATCCAAATAATCTAATAAACAAATGTACAATAATGTAATATGTATTTCAGTCGTTTGTATTCCTAATGAAAACCTATGAAATAACTTTTTAATTCTTATACTTGTTCGGTTGCTAATTAGTGCTAATTTCTATTGACTTTAACCAAGATACCCCTTGCACTTTAGAGGGTTTGGGAGAAACCACTCTGCGTATTTGCTTTTAAGGACAAGGGACGGTATCAGACAAAACGGGCCGCTAATAAATCAGTCTTATCTCAAGAGCTACAAAGTGAGCTATAACATATTATTTGAAAAGTTTGTCTTCGTAAATGTATTGAACAAATACGGCCAGATATCTCGATTTTTTTCCTATAGTAGGACATAAAAATGATTATAGTTTCTTCTACAGACAGAGATTAGATATAGTTTGTATATTGAAGGATGCAGAATTGAAGGAGCTGTAGAATCAGTTATAAAGTTTTCTTTCAAATCTTAGATTTGTTGATCTTATGGCACATTGTAGAAATTCTTGAAACTATGAAACTTCGCGGATTTTAGAGAGGGAGTGAGAAAGAGAGAATAAGAATATTAAAATATTAATGAATAATTTAAAGTTATCAGTAATATTTTCTCTTCCTCGGTTACACAAACAACGAGTTGTAATCAAGAGTAAATTTAAAACTTTTCTCATTATTCTCACCTTTAATCTGGTATCTGATATTCTGGTAATCTAGTATTCTGGTAACCATAAAGCATCTCAGGAGGTTCCATCGTAAGCTCAGATTTATCATGGGAGGGGCATATTAGAGATTTATTTGTTGCATGCAAAAGGCGTCTGATAGCAATGTTTAGAACTTTTAGAGAAGCACCAGTATCAGTATAATCACAGTCTTTAAATCAGGTATTCTGAGTAAGCTGGACTATGGTAGCATGGTCTATGATAGTAAATGGTATACAGGTGAGCTTGAAAAAGTCACCAGATTAGCGGCACGAATAATATCTAAAAAATTAGATGAATCTGAAACATCTTTGCTTAGTGAACTAAAACTTCTAGATTTAAGGATAAGGAGAAAATATTCTAGACTGGTACATTTTTTTAAAGTAAAAATGCTATTTCTCCTCTCTTCACTTTCACTCTTCCTTTTATAAAACCGGTAACTGATCGGAGATCTGATCGATTTTGCGTTGATCGACAGCATAATATGCAGGTTC